TGCCAGGGACAGGAGGAGGACGCTGACGCGAACCGCGACCACTAGGGTGAGCAGCTCGGATTGGCGACGCAGGGCGGGACGCAGGCTCACGACGCTCAGCAAGACCTCCAGTAGGACCAGTGTAGGGAGAAGGAGAAGGCAGGGGAGAGGCGGGCTGTAACTGTGACTGCAACGGAACAGGCTGGGGACACTCTACGGGAGGAGAAGGACCAGTGGAAGGCGGGAGACCAAGAACCCGCTGGAGGAGCGGAACGAAGTACGGCCGAGGCCGCGCAGCACCGCCAGAGACAGCAGGGACAGCACCAACACCTCCAGAGGCAGCACCAGCACCAGTAGCAGCTCCAACTCCAGCACCTCCAGCAGAGCCAGAAGTACCCTCAGGAGGACCGACAGTCGTAGTCTCAGCGCCAGCACCCGCAGCAGCTCCAACTCTAGAGGCACCCCCGGGCCCGGCAGCTCCAGTACTCGCAGTACGAGCACCTCCGGGACCCGTGGTACCAGCCCCCTTGGCAGCAACAGAACCTCCAGCACCCGCAGCACCCCCAGCTCCAGCAGCGCGCCTCCAGCGCCAGGCAAACCACTCACGTAGCTCCAGAGGAGAGAGCGGCTCGCGGCTCGAACCACCAGGAAGAGGAGCAACAGGCGAAGCACTCCCAGACGCAGTACCCCCAGGCTCAGCACCCCCAGGCTCAGCACCCCCAGTCGCAGTACTCCCAGGCTCAGCACCCCCAGGCTCAGCACCCCCAGGCTCAGCACCCCCAGGCTCAGTACCCCCAGTCTTAGCACCCCCAGGCTCAGCACCCCCAGTCGCAGCACCCCCAGGCTCAGCACCCCCAGTCTCAGCACCCCCAGGCTCAGCACCCGCAGCAGCACCAGAGTCACCAGTGACCTCAACAGGCTCGACCGCGTCTACCTGAGACACACCTGAAGGGGCAGGACCCTGAGGGGGGAGGGGGTCTACCGGGGGGGGGCTTGGGACCAGGAAGAGGGGCGGTGGGGGAAGGGAGGGAGTGCGGTAGGGGAAGAGCCGGTAGAAGGGGACCGACTCGTCGAACGTGACGTCCTGGGAGGACAGAACACGACGAGAGGTGGGGTGGTAAAACTGCCACCCAGGGGCGTCTGGGGTGAAACCCAGGAAGACGCAAGGAGCAGCACGAGGGGACAGCTTGTCCGCAGACAAGTCGCGGACAAACGCCCGAGATCCCCAGACACGAAACTGTCAGAACATTATAGCTTACTTATTTGTGTAGGCTATAGTGGGGTATCCCATAGGGGGTACAACCCAGCTAGGGTTTCCTATTTGTACTCACTTCGTTCATAGTTCACTCATTCTCTCGTTCACTTCTTCTCAGGAACGCCGACGCATCGCCAACCTTCCCCGTCCACAGCAGAGCTGGGGAGGTCTCCGGTCTGGAGACCCTGGGCTGAAGGTTGATCTGGTGCGCTGCGTACCTCACCGCAAACGGCCACAGAAAATGGGGGGCAGCCGCATGCACCATGGACGTACGGGCGACATCCATGACAATGCCGATGCGGCGCTCAGCAATCCCATTCTGCTTTGGAGAGTCCGGAAGCGTGAAGGTATGGCGGATGCCTCGTGCACGACAGTAGGCTCGCAGAAGGCCGGAGGAGAACTCTCCGCCTCTGTTCGAGTGCAGACGCAAAACAGGAAAGTCCGAGCCGAAGCTCCGCCTGAGCTGGAGACGAGCTGCGCGGATCCAGTCGATCAACACCTCAGTGACCTCACCCTTGCTGCGCAAGGGGAAGACCGTGGTGTAACGCGAGTAGTCATCAACCACCAGCAGGAAGTAGCGCTCGTGACCCTGTCCACGGACGCGGGCTGGGCCCCACACGTCCATGTGAAGCGTCTGCATCGGGGCCTCCGTCGGAGGAAAGGGGGAGGAGTGAGGGGTAGCCCGCAGGCGACCCTCGACACAGGGGCCAGGCCCGGGAGGAAGGGGAGGGAGGGACCGAGGAAGACCAGAGACAAGAAGGCGAGAGGCCATGCCCCGGAGACGAGGCAGGGAGGGGTGACCCATCCTGTGGTGCCACAGGAGGGTCTCGTGAGACAGGAGGCGACACGAGCAGGGGGCAGACTCAGGACCAGACCTGGACGCTGCAGCAAACACCTGGCCCGACGCTGCAACCTGACCAGACGCAGGAGGAGGAGACGGAACAGTGAGTGTGTACAGGCTCGACCCCGGCCCACGTGTGAACGTGGTCAAGTGTCGACCCGTGTCCGCGTCCGTGCAGTGGGTATCCCGTCGGCGTGCAGGGGTGAACTGGTCAACCCCTGCATCCTGAAGGTCAGCACCCGCCACCAAGTTCGTAGAGAACGAGGGGAGGTAGAGACCGGTCAGGGCGCCGGACGGGACCGCAGGGCACGGCAGGACAGTGGAGTAGCAAGCCAGACGAGGACCCCCCGAGGGGTCCGCCAGGGAGACCGCCACTGGCCGACTGAGTGGCGTGAGTGTGGTGCGGTCTCGAAAGAAGGAGCGAGACGCCCCAGAGTCAAGAGTGAAGGTGAGAGAGGGCGGAGCCGACGCAGTACCTGAGAGAGCAGACTCACCAGCACCTGAGGACACAGACTCACTGGCACCTAGAGCGACAGCCTCACCAGCACCTGGAGCAGCAGCCTCAACAGCACCTAGAGCCGCAGTACCAATGCTCGGGTCGGGCGGGAAACACCGGTAACAGTCACCCTCCTCACTAATAGTCACAGCATACATGGCACGAAGAATAGCATCAAAGTCAAGATCAAAGATAGCTACTCCTGCCCTAAACAGCTGGTCCCAGCGAGGGATCTCAGAGGCGTCAGGAAACTGGTGGCGCCAAGCGTCAGTCAGGCGGCCGAAGCAGCGCTGAACGGAGTGAGGACCACCACACTGCTCACCCGCACGGTCGCCAGTGCGCAGGTCGTAGGTGCACGGACCAGTACCCCCACCCCTCTGACGTGCAGCGTACCACTCACGGAGCTGCTGCGGGGAGAGGGTCTCCTGACCACGCTGCTGCTGTTGGCGCTGACCACCACCGGAGCCACTCCTCCGCGACGAGCCACGACCGCCGCCGCCCCCTCCGCCGCCTCCTCCGCCGCCACCGCCACCACCTCCACCGCCACCGCCACCTCCACCGTCGCTGCCGCCACCACCGCCTCCGCCTCCACCCCCACCACCACCGCCACTGCCGCCCCCGCCTCCACTGCTGCCGCTGACACCTCCACTCCCGCCACCACTCCCGCTACCACCCTCACCTCCTCCGCTGCCTCCACCGCCGCCTCCACCGCCCCCGCCGCCTCCCCCACCGCCCCTGCCTCCCTTGCTCTTGCCAGAGCGACGTCTCCCACTGGGGGCAGACGCCGCACCGACCGACTCAAAACCAACTAGGTCGGCCGTAGCAGCAGAGGCAACAGAGGGCAGGAGGGGGGAGGGGGAACACCCCTCAAAGATGGGGGTGCGCGGGTCACCACGAGAGGCCCCTACAGCGAGAATGCTCTTCTCGGCCGCTAGGAGGGACTTCTCGAGGAGCTCAACGGTGAGAGTGGTGGGGCAGACTGAGAGTAAGTCGTCCCTGACTCCTCGAAGGGAGTCAGGGAGGCGGGTGACAATGTAGTAGAGAGTGAAGTACTTGGGGGGGGGGGTTCTTGGCGCAGAACTCAGCAGGAAGCGCAGCGCGGAAGCGAGCGTCACTAGTGCGCAGGTGGGTAATGAGGTCGGCGACTGTGGCAAAAGCAGCAAGGTCGGGAAAGAGGTACGGTAGCATGAGGCGGCTCAGTGCAGCAGTGGCAGGGGTGGAGTAGCGTGCAATAACAGCGTCGTACAAGGTCTTAGCACTCTTGTACGACCCAAAGTGCGCACGCTCAGCAGGGGGGAGGTGGCGACGCACAGCAAGACGTGCAGCAGCATCGCGAGTGGCCCACTGTGAGCGAACAGTGGCATCCTCAGTAGCAGCAGGGGCGGGAGAGGCACCAGAGGTGAGATCAAAGAGAGAGATTCCGTCAGCTTTGTCGCACTGTAGGAAAAGCAGTAGGTCGTCTACCCACACGTCAAAGTCGATGGCTCTGCCCTCAGCGTCAAAAGTGAGAACACTGGGGGTAGCCATGACAACAGTAGGGTGAGGGCAGTGCGCAGAGTAAAGCTCAGTGCTCACCAGACAGGGCAGTGCAGGGAGGGCTCGGGCGGCTTGGCGGCTCGGGGCGGCTCGGCTGCTGGGGCGGCACGGCTGCTGGGGCGGCTCGGCTGCTGGGGCGGCTCGGCGCTCGGGGCGGCTCGGCTGCCGGGGCGGCTCGGCTGCTGTGGCGGCTCGGCTGCTGCGGCGGCTCGGCTGCTGCGGCGGCTTGGCTGCTGGAGGCGGCTCGGCTGCTACGGCGGCTCGGCTGCTGGGGCGGCGGGGCCGGTAGGTGCAGCGGCGGGCCGGCAGGTGTAGCGGCGGGCCGGAAGTGCAGTGGCGGGGTCGTCAGGTGCAGCGGCGGGCCGGCAGGTGCAGTGGCGGGGCCGTCAGGTGGTGCGGCGAGCCAGCAGGTGCAGTGGCGGGCCGGCAGGTGCAGCGGCGGGGCCGTCAGGTGCTGCGGCGGGCCGGCGGGTGCAGCTGCGGGGCCGTCAGGCGCAGCTGCGGGGCCGGCAGAGCAGGCCGCGGGGCCGCGCCGTAGCGAGCGGCGGGGCCGCGGGTGAGCAGGCGGCGGGGCCGCGTCTGAGAGGGCGGCAGGGCCGCGTCGTAGTAGGCGGCGGGGCCGCGTTCGAGAAGGGCGGCGGGGCCGCGTTCGAGAGGGCGGCGGGGCCGCGTTCGAGAAGGGCGGCGGGGCCGCGTTCGAGAGGGCGGCGGGGCCGCGTTCGAGAAGGGCGGCGGGGCCGCGTTCGAGAGGGCAGCGGGGCCGCGTTCGAGAAATGGCGGCGGGGCCGCGTCAGAGAGGGCGGCAGGGCCGCGAGGGAAGGGCGACACGGAGGGTCGCTCGAGCGAGAGGAAAAAAAAAAGTTGGCGCGCCTCGGGGCGCGCTTCGGTGGGCCCTAGGCTAAGTTCCCACAGGGAACCCGCTCTATACCATGTTGAGTTGAGAGAGGAATGAAATGACTAAGGAAAGATTGGGTACAAATACAACCCTAGAAACCTGTACCCCATATGTGCTACCCCAGTATAGCCTACAGCAACTATGTCATATAAATCTGACACTCTTCATAGGGATCAAACAGCTTGTGAAAGAACAAGAGATCACCTAGCCACCTAGCACCGTTCGAAGCGCTCGACACGAGGAGGGAACGGAGCGTGTGGACCGCAAAGCCCACGGGCACGTTACGCAACACCAGCATTGTTTCACCACGAGCCTTTGCCGCGGAGAAGTCGGGAGCCGGATCCTGGTAGACCTTGATTTCTGCGGTCGGCCCTTCTGACAAGCGGTAGGTGATCGGCATGAGCTGCTTGAACCGGTTCGCGTCATCAGCCGACGGCCACTGAAGCATGTGACGACAATACGAGCGACGAGGGAGGCGCAGGATCTTGCCTGCAGAAGCCTCGAAGACAGGGACACGGCCACCCGAGAAATCACGGCCACACAGAATGCTGCGGACGCGGGTTAGGATCCGACTGCGATGCGCTTCAAGAGCTTCAGGGAGCAAGAGTACGACAAGAGCATCAGTGTCACGGGCCAAAGTCGCGACGACGACTCCCACTGTCTCACGGTTGCGCCGAAGGCGCTGGTACCGGCCGGTGATGGCGAGGGCGGCCACAGGATTAGCTTTCTGGGTCGACGTTGAGGGAGGAGGCGCAGCCGAGGAGGGATCGGCTGCAGGAGCCATGACCGGAGGGACATGCGGCACCACCGAGGCCGCAGGGGGAGCCACAGGCGCAGAGCTGGATGAGCCGGCAGCACAGACACGCTTCGCGGGAGGCGGAGCAAAGACAGCGGGAGTAACCGCTTCCTCGGCAAAGAAGGACTCGACCGAGAAAGAGGCACCAAGCTCCTCTTCTCCCATGAGTTCGTCGGGGTTATGCTGGGACCCATTGCGCCAGGTGGTAAGGAAGACTTGTCATGGTACGCCGTTTTGTAGCATGGAAACGCGGTTCGGCGAGGAGTGGGTGAGAGAGATGGCCCGACGAATCGCAGCAGGGAGGGGACATTAAATGTTCCAATTTCACGAGTGAAAGAGGTGTGGCTTTGGCGACAGCCTAGGCTCACGGTAACCAACGAGGATCCAGCGAAGAAAAGGGGGGCCGCGAAGCGTGCATGGAAAGAGCACACAGGAGGACGCGCCGTCACAGCACAGCGTGACGCCCAAGCACAAGTGCATGGCGGAGAGCAGACGTGGAGGGAACAAAGTTGCGAAAGAAGGATTTTCCAGAGGCTGTAAAACCTCCTGAAAGGCCAGACAGCGAGGAAGAGGAAGAGGATAGACGTCCCTGGGACAAGCTGCAGAGTTGGCCTGGAGCAGGTGCTACGGCAGAAGAAAAATCTGTGGAAACCACCAAGGCAAGAGGCGAGTGTAAGCCAAACCGGATCACGCAGCAGAAACCAGTAAAACCGAGCAGAAGTCAGCCAAACCACATGAAGCAATGAGGACCCAACCTGCAAAAACACCACAAAGACCGGAACGAAAACCGTAAGGAAAGCACGAACAACCCACGAAAGAGAGGAGAAGCCAGACTCACCTACCACAGGCCAAACCTGGAGAAACAGAAGCCAAAGGACGATGGTCCTGAAATGCAGATGCAGGCTGACACGGCAGCATAACAGAGGATGAGGAGCCTGAGCTTCCAAGGTTGAAGGAAGCGGAGAGCAGTTCGTCATTTTTTTTTTTTTCGTGGAAAAGAGGCAATGTCGCACTCTGTGAAGACACGCGCCCTAAGTGTAGAATATCATCGACAATTGGCTGACTCGGCCAAATAAGGAATGACACCGAGGATCAGTTTGTTGCAGAGTTCTGGCATCAACGAAAACTAAACCCAATAAGAAACTGAAGTGACTTGGCGACGGATGAATCCCAAAAGCTGGCGACTTCCCGTGTTTATGGCTGTACAATATATGCTTTAAATCATATTAGCAAGTTACATATATCATCGTCTGTAAAAGAGTTTTTTCTTGGTAAACCAGATTGGCGAATCAATAAGAAAAATGAGCTTTGCAAAATTCCCTGTTAGTATTTTGCTGTTTGATCCGAACTTTTAAGGGCCTGATTTGGTGTAAGGTTTGGGGTGTACGATCTAGTATCGAAGCGAGACAAACCAGACGCGCTAGAAGACCCTACTGTTGTTTGCCAAAGATCTTTCGCGTCCACGTCACGAGAATCTTTTGCGAGCCCAGCCCCACATCATCAACACCAGCAAAGCGAACTCACATAACTCCAAAACAACTTGTTGCGAAAACAACGTGACCTGTTACCAGCTTACTCGTCACAACACCCTGCTTCTTCTGTCATTCTCCCTCAATCAAGAATATACACCAGCTCAACCGAACCGAACCCAACCATCGGCTCCCCGGAGTCCCGACTCACTAGTCACAACAACCCTCGAGATCTCCACTTTTTCCCCCTTTCTCATGCCCAACATCAGAGCTGGGTTTTATTTCTACCCTCTGCTTCTGGAACAGAATGGGCTTGTTCATCCCAACCCAACAACCATTCTCTTATTGCCTCCCATCCCGTTCCGCCAGAATCTCTTGATCTCCTGCGCCTTTCGGGCGGGTGCTCTTCTTGTGCACCTCATTTCCTTTCAAAGATCTTCCTCGCTGATTTATTCCTTTTTTCTTCGCCACACCTTCTGCCTGTCCTTCGACTAGGGAGCGTCCCACGCGTTTGTCTGCTGATTGTCCAGTGCGGTTCAGTAAGTTTGCACAGGGAAAACAGCCGGTTTTGTTCGTTACTGCCGCCTTGGACCGCAATGCACCAAACGGAGCCGCGATACGTGCACTAAAAACGAGTCCACGGAAACCTATTTAGCATCCATGCAATGCAATTGCCGCTAACACTACCAGCAGCAGCAAATCCGCCATCACCAGCACCATCACCATCAGCAGCAACAGCAGTAGCAGCAGCAGCAGCTAGTGCGGGCTCGGCAGGAAGAAGAGTGGTAGGGGGTATAGGAAGACCGTTAGCAGCATCGAGAGCAATTGCAGCGACAGGGATGACGCCGCTGGCGTCTCAGCAACTTTCCTCCCCGCTCCCGCTTCCGCTGCCCCTCCACCAGTGCGCGGTTACGGCCGCCGCTTTTCCGCGCCATTCCTTCCGCCGCGTCGTGTCCGTCCGCGCGGGCAGTTTCGACCATCTTTCCTCCGCTTCCGAACCCGCGGGATCCCCGCTCGCCCAGGGGCGGCGGAGGCGCGGCGGCGGAGCAGCTTCCGCTAACGATCCAGCGGCTGAAGCGGCGGAAACGGCGGTAGGGTCGCGAGGAGACCCGGTTACAGCGGCGGCGGGGGCAGCGGATACAGGCGCTGTTGGCGTTGATCGCAACAGTGATGGCGACCGTACCGACGGCGGCGGCAACGGCGGCGGCGTCGCGCCGACTAGTCCGCATCGAAGAGCGGTTCGCGTGCTGAGGGACGCGCCGCCGTCCGACACGACACGGCGGCGCGACGATGCGGCGCCGGCGGCGGCCGCGGCGCCTGCACCCGCGCGCGGGAAATATGCGAGCGGAGCGGGCGCAGCAGGGAGAGGGAGTCGGTACGTGCGGTCGGGCGCTCGAGCCCCCACCGGCGCTGCGGCGCATGCTGGGGAGACTGCGAGCGCTGGGAGACTGGCGGACGCTGCAGGTGCGCCGGCGCGCCGCTTAGGTTAGATTCACTCGTCAGTCCTTTTTCCACATGTCACTCGTCTTTCTCCGTCGTCTCGGCCCCTCCCCTCCCCTCCCCGTTCCAAACACACTGGCGCTGTTTCAGAGCTGCACACATGTCTCTCTTGTTTCTCTCACATTGTTTTCTCCCACGACCTCTCCTCACCTCACCTCCTTTCCTCTTCTTCACACCTCCCCCCCCCCACACCAAATTCTCATCTTCCGACTCCCCCGCGCCCACCCTCCTCCGTCCCGTCCGCCTCCTGCTTTCTCCCCATACACCAACACCGCCCTTCCTCACCATCCCCGAAACCCTCTTCGCCCTCCCCCTCCTCCCCCTCCCGCTCGCACCCACACCAGACGGCCATGCCCCGTCCACCGCAGGCGGCCAGCGGCGGCAGGCGGGGGGCGCGCGGAAGGCCTTCCACCCGCGTCCCCTGCGCCCCCTGCGCTCCCCGCGTGCTGCCGCGCACGCAGCCGCCCCTCCAGGTCACGCAGGCGCCTCTTCATCTTCAGGTGGCGTTGCTGCTGCAGCAGCCGATGCAGCAGCACAAGGAGCAGCAGCGGCAGCAGCACATGCACCTGCCCACGTGCCTACAGCAGCCGCCGCAGGAAGGTTGTCTCCTGCTGCAGTGGCCGCGGCTTTTGCCGCTGCGAGCAGTGGCAGCGCCGGGGACGCGGCGGGGTTGGCTGCTGGAGTGGGGAAGGCCGAGCGGAAGGATGAGGGAGAGGGTGAGGGGAATGGGGAGGGAAAAGGGGGAGAGGTTGAAGAAACGGCGGAGGGAGACGGGGAAGGAGAGATGTCTGGAATATCTCGTATGTTTGCGCTGGGTCGAATGGGTGCGGGGGAGAGCGGGGCAGGGAAGGACAGGGGAACGGGAGGAGGGAGTGAAGGAGGGGGAGGAGGGGGCGGAGTGGAGGACTGGGGAGACATGGAATTTGACCATCGGGTGGAAATGGACCTATCAGTGCCTGCTGACGTGGCGTGGCAGCTGTGGGTGGACTTGGAACAGGCGCCCGAGTGGTAAGGGCGGTGTGTGTGTGTGTGTGTGCGCGCGCGCGCGCGCGGGGGGGGGGGGGGGGGTGGGGGGGGGGAAGGTGGGGTTGGACTTTTGAGGCGCCTCCAGAGGGGCAGCTGTGGGTGGAACTGGAGCAAGCTCCCTAGTGGTAACGGTTCTAAGGGCGGTGGGCGAGGGAAAGTAAGGGAAGTAGGGTATGGCGCAGGGGGGGTTGGGGAAAGGGGAAATTATGTGGAGTATAGAGGAGGTAGCGTAGGGTGTGTGGGTATGTGATTGCAAGCAAAAATGTGTGTGTGCTCCTGTTGTGCCTCCTTGTGCTATTTGCCTTCGGACTGATGCTCCTCACAATGCGTTTCTGAGACCTTGCCTTGCCCGTTGGCTGGCCATTTTGGGTTGGTTGGTTGTGTGGGTGGGTGGGTGGGTGGGTGGATGGGAGGGTGGGAATGGTGGCAGGATGAAATGGATTCAACGGGTGGAGCTGCTACCTGCTGGGCACCTGGAGCACTCAGCAGCAGATAACCTCCTCAGCAGTGATCTCCTAGCATCGGGAACAACCACAGCAGAATCAGAATCAGAAGCAGGAGCAGGAGCAGGAGCAGAAGCAGGAGCAGCGGGGGCAGCGGGGGCAGCGGGGGCAGCGGGGGCAGCGGGGGCAGCGGGGGCAGAGGGGGCAGCGGGGGCAGCAGGGGCAGCGGGGGCAGCAGGGGCGGCAGCAGCAGAGGCGGGGGGCGATCTGCAGCACCGCATACAGCTGTCCCGATGGATCTGCTGCACCACTGGCTTTGAGGTACCTATCCGATCTGCTTTCACCATCTGCCTCCAAGCTATCCCACCCGATCCGACCGCTCGTCGCCTTAAATTCAAGCCCTGCTCTGCTCTTGTTGCCCTCCCCGTACCACCTCCTTCCTTCACATGCATGCATGCGCCCTCTCTCAACTCAAATACCCTCTCCCTTTATACATCCTCTTTTGAGATGCCTCAAATTGAAGCCCCGCCTCCTCCTCATCTCATCCACTTCACATTTCTCCGTCCACGTCTGTCACTCCCTCTTCTCTGCCCGCAGGTGTCCTGGACAGCCCGTGTGATGCGGCTAAGTGATTCGCCGCCCGACCGCGTGCTGACGTGGCAGACAGTGGAGGGCATTCCCTGCCGCGGACAGGTCACCATCCGAGATGCTGCCAGCTCAGCACAGGAGGGGGAGGGTATGGGGGAGGGGTTCAGTAGCAGTGGTGTAGGCAGTAGCAGCAGCCCTGCCAGCAGCAGCAACAGCAGCAGCAATAGCAGCAGAGGGAGTCAGATGGAGCTGCTTGTGAGTGCCATACTCTGTCTGCCTTATTACTCTGTTCTCGTCCTTATCCGCTCCCTTGGCCATGCTGCTTCTTTTAAATTTATTTTGCTTCACAAGCTGTCGCTTCGTGAGTCTCCTGCCTACGCGCCCACATGCCCACAGTCCCACATGCCCACATGCACACATGCCCACATGCACACATGCCCACATGCACACATGCCCACATGCCCACATGCCCACATTCCCACATGCCCACATGCCCACATGCCCACATGCCCACATTCCCACATGCCCACATGCAGACTTGCCTACTTGCTGCATGCAGTACAATGTGCCTCCCTGCTCACCGCACTCCACCGCTTTGCTTGCCATGCTATACCGCCCACCATGGCTCCACCTCACCACATCTCATTTATCTCATCTCATTGCATGCCATGCCATACCGCCCTCCATGCCATGCCATGCCATGCTCTGCATCTCCTCCCTTGACTGTGCTATGCAGCTAGAGTCACTATCTGACATCCCCTTGTGCGTGTGTTACTGGATTGTGTGGTTACCGCATGGCATGGCATGGTCACCACCTGGCATGGATACTGCATGGCATGGTTACCGCATGGCATGGTTACTACATGGCATGGTTACCACATGACATGGTTACTGCATGGCATGGTTATCGCATGGCATGGTTACCGCATGGCATGGTTACCGCATGGCATGGTTACCTCATGGCATGGCAACAAGCACAGATATGGCATCAGCTACCGCGGTCGCTGGCTCGGATCATGAGTGAGCGGGCTCTCTCTGCTCTTATCCAGGTGCGACATGACAGGACATGCTCCCTGTCCTTTGGCGCCTCAAAACCTTTTGAGGCACCTCAAAACCTGCTCTTATCTAGGTGCGACGTCACATGCCATGCCCCCTGCTTTTGCCTCCTGACCTTCAACAATCAGTAACGCGCGATCTAGCCCGTGCTCTTGCTGCTGGATGGACACTGGCAGGGTACCATGGGTAATTGTGTGTGTGGGTGGGTAGGAGTGGAGGGGTTTTGGGGAGCAGGTGGTTGGTGGATGTGAGGAAGGGGTTTGAGGACCGGATGGGTTTTTCGTCCAGTTGGTATGTTTTTTGTAAAAAGTCACACTCTCGTTGCTGTGTCTTGCCTGCCTGCCAAATTCTTACTGCCTGCTAGTGCTGACCACTTATCCACCTCAAGCACACGCCCTCCTTACCCGCTTCATGCCTGCTTCTGTTCTCCCTGTACTACCACCATAACCCTCCCAATCAAACATGCTGCATTCCGTTCTGTCCTTCCTCCCCGCTGTCGCGTTCTGTGTCGTGCTTACTCTCTCGCCGCCAGGCAACGTTAAGGAGTGACCTGCAGAGGTTTGAGCAGTACGCGAGGGCACAGCAACAGCAGCGTCCGTCGCAGAAGCCACAGCAGCAGCAGTAACAGCAGCTTCCGCAGCAGCGTCTGGGCTTATTCCAACGCCGCCACTGATGCACCCCCGTGGCACCAACAGCAGCAGCAGTAGCAGTAGCAGAAGTAACTGCAGCTGAAGCAGCAGCACTACCCCTGTACCTCGCACTTTTGTGACACCTGAAGTGCCTGAAACCCTCAGCGTGCAACTTCCCCCATTCTCCCACCACCTTCAACCCATCCCCCCCACGCACCTACCACCATCCCGCCATCCTCCCCCCATGTGCACTCGGCTCGTCAAACCCTTTCCCAGAGGGTTAGGCTTTCCTTTGGTGGAAACCATGTCATATCCAGAAGTTATGTCAGTCCTTACGCCACATTTTCATATCGGCATGCCACATCACCAACGGCCCTACCGAAACCACTCCACCCTGCATTATACCACTCCAATCCTGGGTCCATTCATTCCTGAATGCACTTGTTTCTCTACCGCCACCACCACTGATTTGCGGGTACCTCGGAACCAAGGCCACCAATCCCACCCTCCCTGCACCTCTCCCTCCCTTCTTTCCTTCTCTCTCTGTCTCCCCTCGATCCCACCCCCTTTCTTCCTTCCTCCTGTCCAGCACCTGTTCACTCCTGTGCCCGTTTTAAGCCATCTCGTTTCTGCCTCTACCTCACCAAGCAACGTCGGTGTCAGCTTCCCCGTACAAGCTGCAGCAGCCAGGGGATGCAATGTTGTTACAAACTAGCGCGCATTGCAACTTCTTGTTACAATATAATCCCGAGGGGAGAGAGAGACAGTGTGGTGTGGTTGTGCATGTGTGCTGCTGTGCATGAACTCTCTCAAACCGGAACAGAACAGAACAGAACAGTGTGGTGTGGTGGAAGAAGGAGACCTTCCACATTTGTGTTGTGTCGTTCTACATGTGGGGAATGGTGGATTCTGGTTAGGCAATCCGAGGGTGATAGCCTGATAGGTGTTGTTTAGTATACAGGGCAACCTGTAGTTGTGGTGGGTGGATAGATGGATGGATCAGGTATTAATACGGTAGGTGCAGTTGGAAGGGTACTGTATGAGAAAACACTTGCAGCTGTATGAATTTAATCAAACTAGTCAATCAACCTTTGCCTACACGGTACTAGGCAATTCACATACCGTACCTGGTTCTATCATGTCATGACTCATGATCAGAGCAGCACCTTGACTGCATAAGGTTATTACACCCCCCACCCACCCCACTAAAGCTACCACATGTAGAACGAACACACATTCTACACCACCAGACCGGACCCAAACCCCCAGTTTGCAAGCAGTCTAGACCTACCACGATTTCCCACCGTACCCCTGAACCCTGCGACCAGACGAGACAAGTGACTAGTAGTCTCCTACCGTACAAGAGTATGCGATCCCCACCAGACCACATTATAAATCATTGTTCGGAACGGGATGGGATCTCCAGATTCCACCTGCTGAGGCAGTTACTGTAGCTACACCAGTGGCGCTGGTGCTGTCACGGTTGCTGCAGCCATTGCTGCTGCTACCGCTGCTGCTGCTCCAGAGGCACTGCCAGTAGGTACTAGTAGTGCGTGCCCTGCTACCTACTTTCATTTCCACACACCTGTGACAAGGCCAGGTCAGTACCCTCCCCTCCCACCACCTCCCCTCCCCCCCCCCCCTCCCTCCCTCAAACACATGCCGAGTCCACAGAGTCACCCGGAAGCCTCCTACTCCGCAGCAGCAGCATCAGCAGCGTAGTTCTGAGACGTCTCAAAACAGAGTCACCCGAAAAAGCCTCCTACTCCGCAGGAGCAGCGGCAGCAGCAGCAAAGAGGCGGCAGGAGGGGGGAGCGACCATATCGGATTGGATGGGGCGGGGCACGATCTCAATGTTGGTGGGCTCGCGGCTGCCCACACTGAGCGGCTGCTCCCACGGCTCCCCGTCTATCTGCATGAACGCCAGCCGCCGGTGCTCGCCCCTCAGGGCTATGCGCATGCCATGCACCTGTTTGGGGGAGGACAATGGGTAAATGATGGGATGGTGGAGTTTCAGTGGGAAGACGAGAAGCGCCACAGCTCTCCGTCTATCTGCATCAAGGCCAACCGCCTGTGCTCGCCCCTCAGGGCTATGCGCATGCCATGCACCTGGGGAGGCGAGAGAAGCGGGGGTGGGGAGAGGAGTTGTGAGGGAGAGAGGGGAGGGAGTGGGACCAAAGGGATGCGCAGCAGATTCGAGGAGATGTTGATCAGTTACAGGTCGTAATGGGAGCATGGGAGGAGCAGCGTGGGAGGAGCATAGGAGGCTGGGAAGCTGGGGGTGGGAGAGCGAGTGGCAGCAGGGTCCCAACCCAAGGGAATGGGAGAGAGAGCGCACGCCCTGCACGCACCTGTGCGATGCGGGTGCCCCGGGCCATGTTGCCCATGACAGCCATGGTGTGCCAGCCGCCCTTGAGCCCTATCACCTCCAGCATGCCATCGTCCGGCCGTGCAGGCGACCAGCCCTCCTGGGAATGAACCATGCGGAGAGCGAGAGCGAGAGCGAGAGCGAGAGAGAGAGAGCGGGGGGGCGCGGTGGGGTGGGTGCCAGGGCAGGGCACAGGGGACGAGGGAAGCTTTTGAGGTTGAGTGAGGGGAACTCAGAACAGTAGATGGTGAGGGAAATGAGTTGAGCGGCCGACTGGGCCCGCCCTCTTGGGAGCCCCGAGGGGCCTTGACTTTGAGGCAACTCACAGCTCAGGAGTGTGCTAGCAACGGTGGCATTGCACTCACCTTAGCATTGAGATCAGCAGAGGGCGTGCCCCAGGGGTTCCTGGATCCTGCCTCCCACTCACAGGAGTAGCTAAGGTGACTTTTGAGTCGTCTCAGGAATGTGCTTGCACCCACACTCACCTTAGCATTGAGATCAGCAGAGGGCGTGCCCCAGGGGTTCCTGCCCCCTGCGTAGCTGGGCAGGTTCAGCACCACCACCGCCCTCAGACTGGCGTGTGGGTTGGGTTGTGAGAGGGGCGGGGAGAGGGAGGGAAGGAGAAAGAGGGGAAGAGAGAGAGAGCGAATGGGGGAGAAGGTGGAGAGAGGAGGGTTGGATTCGACGGAAGAGAGACACGGGAGATTGAAGAGGGAGAGGGAAGCAAGGGGAGTGAAGGAGGGGGAGGCAGGTGGGAGTGAGGGAAGGGGAAGCAAACACAGAGAGGCAAGCACAGTGAGGCAAGCACAGTGAGGCAAGCACAGTGAGGCAAACACAGAGAGGCAAGCACAGCACAGTGAAGCAAGCAGAAGGGAAGGAAGGGAAGCGGAGGGAGCGAAAGCAGTAGAAAAGCAGAGAAAAGGAGCAAAGGCAGGGGGGCAGTGAGCAAAGGCAGGGGGGCTTACTCATTGGGTAAATCCAGGTCCTCCCATGGGCCGTCCTTTGCCTTCTGCACACTGAACGTTGCGATCATGTGCACACACCTGTTGGGGGGGCGCGGGGAGGTTAGGGGGAGTGGGAGAGAGGAGTGGGAGAGGAAGGAAGGAGAGTGGGGGGGGGGGGGGGGAGAGGGGGGGAAGGGGAGGGTGAGGAGAGGAGCGCAGAAGTTGAGTCGTCTAAGAAACCAATACCTCAGAATCTGTCGACTCAGAACATGGTTGGGCTTGACTTGGAACTACAGGAGCCCTTACCGTGCCTCAGGCTGCGTGGAGCAGCAGGTGCAGAACCATCCCTGTGTGCACCCGTACCCTCCATAAATGGCCTGCCACACACACGTGCGCACGCACACACACCACACACATGCAAGCATGCCATGGGTAGGGGAAGAAGGGATGGGGGAGAGACAGGGAGGGAAAGGGGGAGGGAGGGAGGAATGGAGGGAGGAAGGGAGGGAAGGGGGGAAGGAGGGGAGAGAGAGGAGGGGGAATGGGGGAAGAAGCTGGGAGTTGGGAAACAACGAGCCCATCCCAAACCTCAAACCACCCCAAACCCAGAACCCCAGCCCGAATGCCAAACCCCTCATGACTGCTCTCCTGCATGGTGGCTGCCCATGACATGGCCATGGGCTCACTCACCTGGTTGGCCATGACTTTTGAGACGTCTCAAAACTCTCCTGCATGGTGGCCGCCCATGACATGGCCATGCGCTCACTCACCTGGTTGGCCATGCAGCCGCGTGCCAGCCAGGGCTTCCTCTCCCTCAGCACGTGGAAGCTTCTTCGCACACTCCAGCCCGAAACCCAAACCCCCAAAATCGCTCCAAACCCCTAAAGCTCACCTGGTTGGCCATGCGGCCACGTGCCAGCCAGGGCTTTCTCTCCCTTAGCGTGTGGAAGCTGTGTGCCACCTGTGCGTCCATGCCTGCTCGGGCGGAAACAAAGGGGAGAGCATGGGGGAACGTGCGTTGAATTGAGAGGGTGGGGCTCAGGTCGAAGCAAGCACGTTGGGTCAGCCAGGGCCGTCCTTTCCCTCAGCGTGTGGAAGCCGTGTGCAACCTGGGTATGCATGCCTGCTCGCACAGGGGAGTGGGGAGAGAATGGGCGGAGAGTGGGGAGGGATGGGGGGAGAGTGGGAGGAGAATGGGGGTAGAGTGGGAAGAGAATTGGGGGAGAGCGGGGAGAAAATTGGGGAAGAGTGGAAGGGGAATGGGCGGAGAGAGAGAGGAGAATGGAGGTCGAGGGTGCTGCACGGGCGAAGAAAGCATGTTGGGTCTAGGGTGAGGCGCACCAAGTCGCAAGAGAGTCAACTCTGTCGCTGTGTGCCAGCCCAACCACTGTTTGAAGTCACTCAACGTGCACACACAGGCACACAGGCACCCAGGCACACAGGCACCCATGCACACAGGCACCCATGCACATACGCACATACGCACACACGCACACAGGCACCCATGCACACATGCACTTACCAATGCTGAAGTAAAGGTAGAAGTTTCCCAGGAACGACGTTGGTGCTGCCTGCACGACCACGGCACGGGCACACATGGGGACATGCACCCGGTGGGTGGCTGATGAGAGCCACGTGCATGCATGATGTGAATTATGACGTGGTGTGCATGTAATGCACCTCTGCGCTCTGCACACAAGCACGCACATAGGCATACCGCACTCGCATTCGCGTTTGTGCACATGCGCAGAATTAGAAAAAGGGGGAGGAGTGGCGGGGCTGGGGGGGGAGATAGCACGGGAAGGAGGGAGCGGGGAGGGACGCAGGTGGGAGGAAAGCTTCTAGGGTGGGGAGGAGATGGGGAGGGAGAGTGCTTCTGTGTGAATAGTGAGGTGCTGTGAGGTGCCTCCAAGCTAGACTAGACAGACATGCACGCACACATTGATGCATGCATGCATGGGATACGTGTGTTTCTATGTAGGGGCTCACCTCGCCTGCGGTCTCTTGTGGGTGTATGGCGTATGGCAGGTGCATTTGAGTGGTGTCCATGTCAGGGGATGGCGTCACCTGTATGCTCCAGCTGCTCGTGTATGTGTGCATGTGCACGAGGCAAGGCAGGGAACGAGAGTGGCAGGGTGATGGTCAGCAGCACAGAGGAGGAAGGAACGGACGGGATGCGTGTAGGCGTGTGGATGTAGGGATGCATGGATGCATGGACGCATGGGATCATGCACGTGGCGCATGCACATGGGCCTATGCATGTGGTGGGGCATGCACGTGCAGCACACAGAGTGACAGGAAACTTCTCGATCACACCGCGTGATTGAGAGAGTTGGATCGCAGCCAGTGGGGAGCAGGGAAAATCAGAGGAGAGGAGAGGCTATTTTGATTATGCTGACATTTGAGGCGCCTCAAAGTATCAGAGGAGAGGCGGTGTGGCGGTGTTCGTGATGCTGATGGTGATGATGGGAAGCAGGCGGTGCGGTGGTGCAGTGATGCTTTTCTCACCCGTCCAGCTTGCAGGGCTGTGCGGTGACCACCCCCAGCAGCATCTGCTCAAACAGTGCTATGCCCAGAAACGAAAACGATGGGCCCTGCGTGGCGTGGGGTGGCGTGGGGTGGCATGGGATGGGACGGGATGGGATGGCATGGCATGGCATGGGATGGCATGGCATTATACATGAAGGGCTAGACGACAGGCAAGAGGGCACATGAAGCAGAGGAAGAGAGTCCACAGGAACTTGAGATGGACACGGAAACTGGTGAAAAGACACGAGCGGAGGCAAGGAGGACAAGAGTTTACAGGGTTTCGGGTTTTTGAAATGTCATATCTGATGCACACGTTGAAGGTGGGTGCTTGCACAGAGGCGCATCCATCCACCCATAAGCACAGCTCATGTGCACACTCACAGGAACTCACATGCACACGCACGTGCCCTCAAACACACACACAAACACACACACACACACACACACACACACACACACACACACACACACACACACACACACACACACACGCACGCACGCACGCACGCACGCACACGCTCACGCGCACATACCCATCCAAAGGTTCGCGAGAGGTCGTTGCCAGTGCCGAGCGGAATGACGGCAACGGGTGGCGGCGAGGGGAACTTCTCGAGCACAGACAGCAGCCACCCCACCGTGCCGTCGCCCCCTGCTGCCTGCACATCCATCCACCCCGCACCCCACGCAACGGATTTAAAAAACAATGGAACGGAACCGAACGGAACGGAGAAAAAGGGTCAGTCAATGGCGGGGAGCCAATGGCATAAGCTGGATATGCGTGCGCGCACAGCGAACAGGGTGCAAGTTGCGCAGTCAGAGCCACACTGTATGCAGACGTCAGCATCGCACGATGCAGGAGGTACGCGGCACGTCGCACATCGCTCGCTCATCGCTCGTGCACCGGCGCGTTTCACGCAGCACGAAGCAGCTCCTTGCTAATCGCTCACTTGCGTGTTACGCTGTCCTTCGCTCTCCAGTTGCGCTGGCCCAGCAGCACGCAGCAAGGCCGCACGCGACCACGTTATATTTTTCTTTCTTTCAGAGTCGACGCAAAGGCCATTGCGCGCTGCCAGCGGATTATATCGCACATTTAAACCCCGCGCTCGAACAGCAATCACCCCCAACCCCAGCTTCCCTCCACGTTACACCGCGACACAAACGCTACTACTCGCGACGACCCTTGTCATTCTCGCTCGCCCTTTCCCCCTTCCCCCCCACACGCCATCGCTTTCCGCGGCACTCACCACGATCCGTAGTCTCCGGCGCGCTTTTGACGCGGCCTCGTCGCCCTCCCCCGCCAGTCGCTCGAGACAGCCGAAGATGGTTGTGAGGGCCACTTGCGGCTTGACCTTGCTCAGATCGTACACCTGCGCGCACGCACAGCACGCAGCACCCGCCACGCAGCACGCAGCACGCGACACGAGCGCGCACGGAACATTCCGGTCGTGAAGTCGAGACGTTGGGTGAAGGGAGGGAGGGAGGGGGAGTTGGAGGTTAGGATGGGGGAGGGTGGGAGAGTGGGGAGAGGGAGAGAGAGAGTGGGAGGGAGGAGAGGGGGATTGAAAGAAATGACGGAGAAAGGAAGGTCGGGAGAACGAGGGAGGGGGACATGGAAGCCGGCGGAAAGATTAAAGGCATGAGCGGGAGAGAAAGAGCCATGAGAGAAACTATCTCTCAGGCAGTACAAAGTGTCGGGTGAGGAGAAAGAAACCTAGTGACAAACCGCGAAAATACCAAAATAACATGGCAAAGAACGCACAAACACGACGCGCACTTTCAAGTCATGCCCTAATCAGCACACCTGAAGCGCGCCGATCTCCGTAATCAGCGCGTCAAACAGTTCCGGGCCGAGTCTGCCCCCGCTCTTGGAGTTTATAAACACGACCAACGGCGCTTCGGGATCAGCGCCGTCTGCCGCCGCCACCTCGCCATTAGGCCCGGCTTCCGGCACCTGCAGCTTGGCCTCCGTCGCCGCGGCTCGGACCGCCGTGGCGACTGACTTGGGGAAGCGCAGGCTATCGACGGTGAGCTTGGATAGGAAAATCTGATCCGCCACGCCTTTCGCCACGCGGATGCTACTGATTGCCGCTTTGGCAGGTTTCATCTCGGGTAATGCGATCGCTCCGCCGACTGCGGAAGGAGTTTCTGGCTGCTCCTGTTCAGCCATTGGTGTGGATGAGGACACGCGAGAAGGGGGTTTCGACGGGTGATGTCGAACGGTTAAGATTGTCTCACAGTCCTAACCAGGATAATTGTGATATGACGTTCAGATTGTGAAGTACTAACGCATCGCTGATGTGAGTTTTGGAGTGGTGGCTGCGGGAAAGCTGCTGCTATTGAACACAGTTAACAAAAGGTGGGCGCTTGTGCGCGGTAAAGAACCTAGGGACTATGCTTGTGAGGTTGGTGTTTCGATATTAGTACCGAAAGAAACATCAAGATGTCAAAAAGATGTCAGAAAGAAGCGAACAGAACTCAACACTCACGACTCACAAGGCTCAGCATAAAACCAGCAGCCAATAGCATATCACGTCAACACAGAGTCTGCGAGGGAACGCCAACCACTGACCAGTTGTGATCGTGCACCGTCGATTTCGTTTTTGTCCACGATGCTGTTGCCAACGGGCAGATGGAACGTTTGGTGTTGCTCAATGGAATAAGATGGCGCTCCCACAGTTTCCCGACACCGAAGTTTGCCCATCAGGCTCAAAAATGTCGGGATGGTGATCAGAGTGGGGTACTGCCCCACTCAGGACACCGCGTCCTTGCGAGCAGTCACGACCAAATTGCGACCTTCTGACCAGCACTCACGTAAATAATCTAGTCGCACCCAATAGGCCTTCACGTCTGACAATCGGATGGACTCAACGATTTGGTTGGGATTTCTGACTCCCGCGTAAAACGGTGCCCAAAAATTTGAAAACAAAACATTCTGAGGCGCACTGAACCATTTCTGCTATTGAATGGCGTTGACTCAGAAACTGGGCAGCTGAACTTCGGGCAATGACACAAAATCGCGGGTGGGGTCGTAGCTCATTTCGGTAAGCGTCGTGGGCCGTCTAATGAGATCGTATACGGATGTAGATGAACACTCGCACGACGAATTCGATGGGAAACTTGGTGGTCGAACTTCGAGCCGCATGCTGGCAAATATCTCGAAATTTGCAAAATTGCGAGCCGCGTGACCAGACTTTCTTGTCGGGAACTGTGGGAACACCTTCTAAGCCATCTTCAATTCGCACTCACGGAAACCGTCGCATAACGGTCGCCTCTTCAACTGCATTTCCTGTCGGTCGATCTGGCCCCCTGTTATGTACAGTACAGTTCTTGGAGAAGCCACGCCCCATGCCCATGCGGTTCCCGAAAAGCCGTGGTGGGGTGGAGAACGGTCAGCTTTGACTATTGGTTGGGTGCAACGGAAAACGCGGCAAAATTAAATAAGGGCGGGTCCAGCACGTACGTTTTCCTTACATTACAGTTCATTCTGTGCGGTAATCTGTATTGCGTCACGGTTCAAGACGGTGCGATTTCAAAACCGCTGTGCACCGCCTGATATCTTTTCGAACCAAGACAGATGAACTGTATAGGACCTGTAAACGTACGCGGTGGACCCGCCCTAATCCTACACGTGACTGCAATGGACGCTCGATTCCAAGAAAATCAAATTGCTGCAGACAGATGACCATCTGAGAAGCAGGTTTGAAATTAGTAACCATCCCATTTGAACGATAGTAGAGTTCTGTTCATATTGGCCCAACTAGCTCTAATTTCGGGAACCATTCTATTCAGGGCTACAGTGTACAATGACTCTATAACCAGGTTTGTGAGCTGCTTGAATGTGGGTGAGTTAAATGTAGAAAAGTGTTGGATACACCCTTATTACGCATCATCTGGAAGAGAGTATGAAGCAGATTCAACTTCACACCAAAACTGGTTCATGTTCCTCTAATCCCTCAACAGTCACTCCACAGCAGTCATGCCGCTTTCCCTCGTTAATAGTACCTTGGCGCAGCCGGTCTGCGCCCTGATTCAGCGACAACCTTGTGAACAACAGCTTGTTGCTTCAGCTAGATTCACACTCGCAGGTCCCGTTGCGCGCCGAGCGCTCGCGGTGCGCGCTTCTCCGTCAGCGCCAGGCCACGCGGCGCCGTCGGAACATGCGCCAACGGAGCCTGTGCCCGATGCTGTCCCGAGGGAGGAGCAAGCTGCCAAGGAGGCCCGCGTTCGTGCGGAGGTTTCTCGCAGGATTCGGCAGCTCGGGCGGGAAGGAAATGCGTCGGCCGCTGTGGAGCTTTTCACTCAAATGCAGGTGAGGGGGATGGTTAGGTTCGCCCCGCCCCGCTACACAGGCACACCCTTGCAGCGTTACTTCTACGGGATTTCTCACGGAATAGGCACTGCTAGCACTCTTGACAGGCGCGTTCTCCCTTGGTCCATGCAATGTTTTGTCTTTCCGTGCCAAATGCCCTTTTCCAGGGACAAGAGGTGCCAACTGCGTTATCTCGAGCCCCGCTTCTCTATTCCTACAAAAAGGATCGCTTCCAGCCACGATCATCGCTCGCCAAAGCTTTATGTCAATCGCCCGAACGCACCAATGCAAACCCTCTGATAACCCCTGTCTCCTTTCCGATTTGCTGAACCCTCGGCCCATCGTTTCTAACCTTTGCATAACTCCTCCATCCCTACCTCCTCTGTCTCTCCCACACACCTCCCCAACCCCCCAACTCCCCTGTTCCCCCACCTTTTCTATAACATCCCCCCTCTCTCCTTGTCTGCACCGTGTTTCCCCGTGTCAGGCGGACGGCATAGCCCCAGACGCCATGGCAGCGACAGCTCTCATCGACTGCTGCGTGCGCTGCGGTGAGCTGGCACGTGCTGAGCGCACCTTCTTCAACCTCTTCAGCAAAGCCCCAGCCAGTACCACCAGCAGTCCCTCCAGCAGCAGCAGCGACAGCGACGTTGGAAGAACAGCTAATCTGGTGCCGGACGCGGTGGCAGTGGGCGTGCTGCTGCGAGCATACGGGCGCAAGAGCCCGCCGCAGTGGGCCAAGATTCAGCAGCTGCTGACGCGCATGGAGCTCGACTTTGGCCTGCAGCCGTCCACTGCGATTTTCAATGAGCTTATGGATATCTGTGCGAGGGACAATGCGGTGGACCGCGGTGTGCAGCTGTTGGATCGGATGGCCGAGGCAGGCGTTGAGCCAGATGCGTTCACATTTGAGGCTGTGAAGCGCAGGCGAACGCTGCGGTCGCATTTCAAAAAGCTTTTCTATTAAGCAGGGTGGTTGGGGAATACGGTACATCATGTGTAGCTAGTAGGGCACCTGAAGTTGGAGAGGGGTTGGATAAGTGGGTTCGGCTGTTGAGGGTTGGGAACAAGGGCTTATAAGGGAGTGTCTTTTGTGAGAAGTTCCTCACTGGCGTACTTAACATCTTCAGAGGTGTTCCTATCCTCGTATCAAGATAACCTCGTATCAAGCTCGCACTGAAAATTCCCCTAAACCCAATACCTCTCGCTAGTTTTACCAGGCAAAAACAGTATTCTTGATACGAGGTTTCCTGATATGAGGCCGCAGGGACATGTCCTCACTTTCACATGTTTTTTTTTGTTTTAACGCTGCTGAAGGTGTGTTGATACGTGTTACGAGTGCAATTGAGTGAACGAACGAGAATTGCACTATCGAAGCAAGATTACAATGAGCGAAGGCATGAGCGAAGAATATATAGCGAAACTACAGTGGTAACGGTAATGGTCGCGCGACGAGCCTGGGACTGAGGTTGGGAAAGTGTCGAAGCGTAGGCCCGGAGCGCGGGTTACCAGCCGAGCCGTGAGGTCGGGATGCGATGTGCGAAAAGGGCGGGATGATGAAATGATGCGATGGTCGCGAGTGGTAACGGTGCTGACTGAGGTGCTACAGTGATGTACGCGTTGAGCAGGGATGCGAAGTAAGGAGAAGGAATTTTCCTTACACTACCCCTCTCCCCAAGGAGGCCCCTCTTACGAGAGCGCATGGACGTCGCGGAAATTTCGGCTTCGCAGATATTCGGTGAAGACAGGGTGGTTCTCGATTTTATCCAGGGAGACCCAGTTGTCTTCTGTCGGCGTTCGGTCCTTCCAGCGAATTAGGAACTCGATCCTTCGGGCTCCCCGAGGGTCGCGGACTCGGTGGCTGAGGATTTTCTCAGGGGTGATGATTGGTTCGGTTGGGGGGCGTGTCATGCTGGCTGGGCGATTTCGTGGCAGTTGGCTCGTGGATGGGATGTAAGGGCGAAGTAGGCTGACGTGGAATGACGGGCTGACGTACCAGTCAGCAGGGAGGAGGAGGTGGGCCGTGACGGATGTGATCATGTGGCTGATGCGAAATGGCCCACAATATCGGGGGCGAAGTTTTGGAGTGATGGGCAGGCGAAGGTTCTGAGTGTCGAGTAAAACGAGGTCGTCGGGCTGATAAGTAACGGGTCTGCGATGGCGATCGGCGTTGCGTTTAGCGATGATGTTGGATTTTTTTATTGCTTCTGCTGCCCTGGTCCGTGCTGCTTGCAGAATCTCGGCGAACTGTTGTGCTCGTTGTCAGATTATTATAGCTGATGCATGTTTGTAGGCTATAGTGGGGTAGCACATATGGGGTACAGCTTTCTAGGGTTGTATTTGTACCCAACTCTGACTTAGTCATTTTCCATTCCTGGTCATTTATTTCACATGGTATAGAGCGAGTTCCCTGTGGGAACGTTGCCTAGGGCCCACCGAAGCGCGCCCCGAGGCGCGCACCTTTTTTTTAGCGACCCCTCGAGTCGCCCTTTCCCTCGTGGCCCCGCCGTCCCTCAGACGCGGCCCCGCCACCCCTTTTGATCGCGGCCCCGCCACCCGATCGCTGCCCCGCCGCCACGTCGCGGCCCCGCCACCCGATCGCGGCCCCGCCGCCAGCTACGAAGCGGCCCCGCCGCCTGCTCGACGCGGCCCTGCCGCCTGCTGTGACGCGGCCCCGCCGCCTGATCTGACGCGGCCCCGCCGCCTGCTCTGACGCGGCCTCGCCGCCGGCTACGACGCCGCCCCGCCGCCTGCTACGACGCCGGCCCCGCCGCCTGCTCAGCCGCGGCCCCGCC